TAGCCTGTGTCTTTATTAAACGTGTTGATGATGGTGTCTTTCCTGACCTCATGAAGCAAAGTAAAGTTATTCCACTTTTCAAATCTGGTAGTATTTCTGACCCCACCAATTTCAGGCCTATATCAATACTACCAACTCTCAGTAAAATATTTGAAAAAAATATTCTAAATCAGATGTGTGCACATTTTTATAGTAATAACTTAATGTCTCATAAACAATTTGGTTTCACTCGGGGTCGCTCTACAACCGATGCTGGTGTCGAGTTGATTAATCATATATTTGATGCATGGGAAGTCTCACATGATGCTATTGGTGTATTCTGTGACCTTTCCAAAGCTTTTGATTGTGTGCACCATGATACACTGGTCAGGAAACTTCGCCATTATGGTGTGGCGGGACGTGATCTCGACCTTCTTAAATCGTATTTGCGTGGTAGGGTACAGAGGGTCGATGTTAACGGCACGAGATCGTCAGGATCTGCAATTAGCATGGGTGTCCCTCAAGGTTCAATTCTAGGTCCATTTTTATTTTTAGTTTATATTAATGACTTACCTAGCCTTATGGAGGGTATAAAACATGAGATAGTATTGTTTGCTGATGATACTTCCTTATTATTTAAAGTTAAAAGGCACCAATGTTCCTACGACGATGTGAACAATGCTATATCTAAAGTAGTTGATTGGTTTGCTGTTAATAACCTACTTCTTAATGAGAAAAAAACAAATTGTGTGAAATTTACATTACCCAATGTTAGAGAGACGGTTACAAACATTGTAGTTAGAAACGAAAAATCTTGTGGATACAGTTGTATTTCTAGGTATAACGTTAGATGCTAAATTGCAATGGGGTCCCCATATAAGTAAGTTGTCAAAACGGCTTGGCTCTGCAGTGTACGCGATTAAAAAAATAAGGAAACTTTCAGACGTCGAAACCGCTAGATTGGTTTACTTCAGGTACTTTCACAGTCTAATGACATACGGCATTTTGCTTTGGGGTAATGCCGCCGATATCAATAGAATCTTTGTCCTGCAGAAACGTGCAGTTAGGGCAATTTACAATCTGGGCCCCAAAGTATCTTTGAAAGATAAGTTTAAGGAAATTAACATTCTTACACTAGCCTCACAGTACATTTATGAAAATGTAATTTATGTTAAAAGGAATAGTAATTTATTTATGAAAAATAGTGACAGACATAACATTAATACGAGGAATAGAAATAAACTAGCTTTTCTTGATAGTCGTCTTCACAAAGTCAAAAAATCATTTAAGGGGCAATGTATACGCTTTTATAACAAGATTCCGGTTGATATACAAAATTTGCCTTTCACGAGGTTTAAAACTATAGTGAAACAAAAACTTTATACTAAAGGTTATTATACAACTTCTGCGTACTTGGATGACAAAAATCCGTGGTAGTAACCCGTTTAGCTCATGGAGGTAGTCTCGATTTCTGATGTTTCAAATAAAAAAAAATTATTGTAAATGTTATTTACAAAGAGCAACCCCTAGAGTTTCTTGCTCATTTTTCTCAGGGGAATCTGCCTTACGAATGAGCGGTAGAGTTTAACCATTGTGACGATTTCAAGTGTAATAATGCTTACCTATGAAATAAAGATTATTTTGAATTTGAATTTGAATTTGAATTTGACAATACTCTGATGTTACTGGGTAGCGAGATAAAAATCTTTAGGACCATAAATAATGGGTTATTTTCTACACTTGTTAATTAGCTATGCGAACATAGCACGTAATATGTTATCAAACAGCTATTTGTACTCAATACAAATAGTATCGAGTACAAATAGATTATTTACAACGTATTATTTGTTTGTTAATTATTACTTCGACGAGATCGTATTACTTTTATTAAGTTCTGTTTGAGTTGTTCTTAATGCTTTGTACTTACAGACTTACAGATTCTAAAATAAACATTCAAATTGACGACTTCGGTGGCCCAACGACTCGCGCTGTGGGCGCTGGATGAAGAGGTCCCGAATTCGACTCCTGGTAGCACCATTGTGGGAGCACTGCCGTGCCGACTAGTAAATCAAGAAGCGACTGCTCCTGTGTTACGAGCAATTCTAGAAGAAGCATGAGGACATTCTCTCCACTTGTCGAATGACCGAGCTTATTCCGGAATGAGGACATTCCTAGAGCAGAATGGCCGTCTGTTAGCGTATCGTGAAATTATATTGTTTTATTTTGTTAGAAAAATTACTTTGCGTCATTAAGAATTAGTTTCATCGAAATAAGAAATAAATCGATATGATCATCATCGATATTAACGGAACGGTGACAGGCGGCCGCCATTACGAAAAGCATCTTTGACTAGAATAGACGTGTTTTGTTTTGTTTGGATTTATAGTGAAAGATCTTATAACATAATTTATAACAGTCACTGGAGTCTCATTTCTATGTCTATTTGAAAAGTCTCCTACACTCGGATCTTTGCGATTTAGAACTGTCAATGGCACTGCAACTGTTATGGACAGGCGTGTAGCTTACCATCAGCCGCAGGATATGCTCGTCCCGTCACTTGATATTTTTGAAAAGGCTCCATCGGTGAGAAATCTATGAAAGTTTTTTCTGTTATAGCTTAGGTTTTTACTAAAAAAAACCTTATATTATAACGATATTGTAATAACAACATATCTATAATTTCTAACTACCCACATTTTTATTAAATATCGGTCGCTTGTGTTGCTAAATATAATATTACTGGACTTTTGACCTTTCAAACTTTTCCCGATGAATTTTGTTCTTCGTCTACAATCAATTTGTTTTGACTGTACTTCGAGACACTGCAAAATAGGCGATCATATTAAATTTTTCTCTGACATCCTAATTATTAGAGATTTTAACAAATAGTTTCTGTCATTATAATAATAAAGTTTTATTCTAAAACTTATGGAAATTCACATATTTTGTTATTAATAATTTTCATACGAATTTCATAGAAAATGTGTATGCTAATCATGTTTATTACTATTTCCTATATTTATGGCCATGTAATTATTTATATAATATTATAACTATATAATACATATACATCGAATATATATCCGTTTGTGAAAGGTTGTGGAAGTCAAGTTCTCTCTCTCTCTCTCTGTTTTCATGAGAGAAACGCTATGTGCAGAGGTTTTGGATTAATCAAAACCTGGTTAAACGTCTCTGTGCCTTGCTATCGTAGAGATTGAATTGTGTTCCTTTAATAGTACTTGCCTTTGTATAAGACCGCACATCCATAACAGTATCACGCTACGTCGGTTAAATTGTATCAAAATGTAAGGGAGATCACCCACAGGACACAATTGCTCTTTATGTCAATGAATGCGCTAACGTCAATAATAAACATATCATGCCTTTTTACTGTGTTTTATTTGTAAACTGTGATTTTCTTGGTTTTATTTGGGAATGACATTTTATTTTTCTGGTAGTACTTAAATTAAATTCTGAAATCAAATTAAAACAGATTAAAAAATCGTAAGGCCTGCTGGTTCGTTCCGTTGCACAGTTGGCAGAGCGTCAACCACGGTATGCTAGCGGCACTGGTTCGAATCCAGCCGGATCGAAAGAATTTTTCTTAGTTAAACTAGTGGAGTAATTTTACAAAAAAAAAAGTTTAATATCATGATAGTAAAACCTTGTGATATTCAAATAAACTTAATATTCAAATTAAAACAGTTCGGCTGTTTGTTCATCTCGTAACAAAATCAAGTAATGGTGGAAGAGTTATAAATATTCTTCTTAGTATGTAATTAAATCTGTTGTAAACTACTTTCTCTACAGGCAACACGAAGTTAGCTTTACCAGATTAAGTTATGTTTGTAGGGAACCATCCACCTAAGTAAATTTTAACTCAAGTTGGAGAATTCGATTTGCCCAGGAATCTACATCTACTTCAGTAGACGTTACCTGTTAAGAAGTTCCTTAAATACTTACTTATTACTTGCTTCGTAAAACTTTTGGTAATTTCACGCGTTTATGTTGTGTTGTTTATGTTCTTCATATTTACACTTACTAATCTCATTAGAATTACAAAATCTGCTAACATTCGTCAAATAATAACATTTTTGTCAAAAAAAAGGACGAAATTCGTGGAATCTATTTGCCAAATTTTATTGAAATCGCTTAACGGAGAGCGTCTGAAATTCCAATAAACCAGTTTCATCACCTAATGGGCCACTCTTAGAGCTGGAATATTTTCTTCAAATTTGAATAGAACTAATTAGTAGCAGAATAGCTCTTAGTGTAAGAGTTCGTCCAGGGTAGTACTGCCACCTTACCTATTTCTGCCGCCAAGCAGTAATGTCAGCATTACTGTGTTCCGATTTTGTAGGGTAAGGGTGCTGGTGAAATTACACTACTTATGTCTCATGGTGAAGGGCGCGCGGCCTCAGATCTTTGCGATTTGAAACTCTGAGCGACACTGCAACTGTCATGGACAGGCGTTGTAGCTTACCATCAGGCGCAAGACTTGTTCATCCCGTCACTTTATTCTACAAGAAAAAAAAACAGAATTGCTACTGAGGTACCCCCTTTCCAACAGAAAGAATCATCTAAATAGGTTCATACATGCTGGAGTCGAATTGAGAACCGCCTCTTTTTTTGAAGTTGGTTAATAACAAACAAACTCAGATGACATGACTATGAATATGGATGATCCTCACCAAGATACATGAAAGGTCACTGAACCCGTATTTGTTTTTTTTTTATTTTAGGGTCGTATTCTAGAACCCTACTCAATGCTCAAGGCAGGACTTGAGTATGAATCAAAGCACTAGAAATCACACTCAAGTCCTTGCCATTAGGGTCGTATTTCCAGTGCTTGAAATCATACTCAAGTCTGCTCAAATCCTGACTTGAGCATTGAGTAGAGTTCTAGAATACGACCCTGAATATCCTTTCTAGCTAAACAACAAAAATAAATTAAAAAGATTTTGTTCTATTTATCGTCGATGTATAATAATAGCATTTTTCATTTCAGATACAAAGAGCTACGAGCAATGAAGATGCGAGTTACCTAGTACGACGGGAGGATGGGGACTACACACCTGACACTGACACTGCTCTGTGTCATCCTCTTCACTTGCACGCACGCCAAGATAGGTACGTTAACGCATCCTGCTATTCATTCGTTACGGTTTTATATTTTATATAATGTATACGGTGCTAACAAATTAGTATCTGTGGATAATAATTTTGGCGTAGTCTATTTACATTAGAAAGATCAATTTAAAATGCAAATAAAAACCTACATATCGATCGAAGGAATTTTTTCTAAGCGTTCGATCTTTGTATTAATAATTATAACAAACTAGTGGAGTAAATTCACAAAAAATAATTGAATCTCATGGTGGTGAAATATCCTGACATTCAACAAAACACTTAAAAACTACATAGTTTTTGATTTTCACATTGTACTTTCCTTTAAATAAAACGAATTTATAATTCTGTCTGACTTAATAATATCGACTTACAAGGACCATAGACTAATATTGTAATAATACTCACTAGTATTGCAGGAAATTAAAATCTTTTACAATAACGGTCACGAACACAGTATTAAATTAAAAGTAAAAAACACAATAGATACGACTTCGTTGGAGCAACGATTTTCACTGTGGATTAAATGTGGTTCAAATCCCGATAAGACTAATTTGAGAAATCAACTTTTCTAAATTGATTTTAGTCGGGGTGTTCCGGGAGGTCCGCGGAGTGAGTGAGTTCCCTTGCTCTGATATTCACAGTCCAATATTATTATTACAGTCAACAATAAGATTTGCAAACTGAAACACATACAAATTAATATGTAAACGAACTAACTAGCCTTTAGTAGCGGTAAAGCGAGTTCGTACAGGGAAGTACAGCCACTTTACCTTTTCTTATTTCTGCCTTCAAGCAATAATGTGAGCATTACTACGTTTCGGTAGAGGGTAGTAGACCATTGTAGCGTAAACATTAGCTCCGCACTATTTTAATCTAATAAATTGAAAGTCACAGAGTTTTGATCTAGTTATTCGGTGGTTATTGTGGATAAGTGGTAAATAACGTGTGATAGTGTCTGTGACAGGTTTTTCACGGTATAAACGGGAGTTTTGGACAGTGGGAAAAACATTGTGTGATAAAAGTGTAAACATTGACTAATCTGTGAAAATTGAGCTACAAACAGAAACTATTGACAGTGATTAATAACACAAAACTTATAAAAATAAACATTACTACCTAGGAGATCAGTGCATAATTTCAAATTATAACAAATAACAAACCGTTCTTGTTGTGAGGGCAAGAGTGACTCACTGTTCAACCTATTGTTCACTAATGACCGATACGTCAAGATTCACAAAACGCGCCCGTTTATTTTGAAGTGCCCAGAAATACCTCATAATACATATGAAGAGATAGATGGGTTGAAATGTATTATTTCAAAGCTACAAACTAAATTAGAGGCCGCAGATAACGATATACTTAACCTGTTATCGGAGAATTACAAATATAAAGAAAAATTAAGTAAGTATGAGGAAAAACTATGTGTTTTAAAACAGATTTGTAAACGCACACCTGCAAACGAATCTAATTCAGCATCTGGAAAAGGAAGGAAAGATATTAAAACAACAAGATTGGATTTTTCACTGCTAGAAGAATAAAAAAATCAAACAATTATTCTAATCACGAGAGAAAAGCGAAGAAAGGAAGCAAACAATTATCAGTCTAATGAGTCAAATAAACAATGCAGCAGCCATAAGAACAATATTCTGATCCTGTCATCTAATACCAGAAATAAACTATTACCAATTATAGATAATGAATTTGAAAACGATTACAATTATTGCCACCACGTCGCGCCTAATGTAGATGTATTTCATATGCTAGAAGGAATCGAAACCATAGCACATGACTTGACGGAAAAAGACTATTGCGTTGTTTTGATAGGGGAAGCAGATTTTATGGCGTACAATAACTATAAAGAATTGATTTTGTTTCTGAGAAGTAAACTACAAAAAATACAACATATTAATATAGTGATATGTTACCCTACTTATAGGTATGGGTGGCATACCTACCTCTTTAACAGCAGAGTAGAATGTTTTATTACACTGTTGGAAAAAGACGTTCGGACATAGTTCGGAATAGACACTTGAGATATGAGATTTTTATGGTTGGGGGATACATAAATAGAACAGGAATGAAAATTGTAATAAATAATCTAAGAAAACTCATTCGTGAAATAAATAACTACAAATCCAAAGACACAACAGAATTAATAAACATTGATGAAAAATACGAGACAATATCAGAACGTTACTATAGATAATATTAATAATACATATGGACGTTAAAACACGTTGAAACTAACTATACAGGAATTAAATGACAATGATAAAAAAATAAATGTTATTTGTTTTAGTGAAACTTTTATCAAATCAGGTCATGAGCAAAATTTAAAAATAAGAAATTTCAGATTGGGAGCTTTATATGGTAAACCAGAAGAGAGAAGAGGTAGGACATGCATTTTAATCAGGGACAACATTGCACATTCTAATCTGAAATTGGATGAAACATATGGTATATACAGAGACTTCGAATGTTGTGGTGTAGATCTAACTGACAACAATCTATACATATCGAGTTCTTAGGTTTTCGCGATTGTTACACATAGGAAATGAAACTATTTTTCCGGATTTAAATCGCGTATATTTGTTTTTTCAAACAAACCGACGTTTCGGGCCCTTTACAGGTCCCATGGTCACGGTTGACTGAGGTGGTACAGTCTTCAACCAGTTATGTCTAATATTAATGCAAACCACCCTATTTTTTCGCTATAGTTACAATAGTTATTAATTAAATACCTTATTTTTAATTTTACAACGAAAACATTCCAATTTACGCTACATTAAGTTTTACAAATAATTTTATTGAATAAATTTTTATTAAGTTTAATTTATTATTAATTATTAATAGAAATTAGAATAAACTAAAACATATTAATTAGTACTGCAGTCTTATGTCTGTTTGGGATTTTTCATTAGAGGAAATACTGGATCCCAAACTGGTGGTATGGAGAAACCATCTTCCCTGTTGAAATTTGGATATTTTTTAATTTCAATGGCCTCTCGCTGCATCCTGGGCAGATAACGGACTTCTTTTGCATGACGTTTCGTCAATATTGCGTTCATATAAACAGCGCAGACCGAATCTTACTCGAGATGAATATAATGCGCTGAAGACCTTCCGCGAAGATCCTGAAGTAGTCATCCTCCGTGCAGATAAAGGTAACGCGACTGTGGTCATGAATACGTCAGATTATAACAGCAAAATAACTGATTAATATCGGATGAAAGCACGTATAAAAAGGTGAAGAAAGACCCTACCACCAAGATATTAAAAACAACAACTAACTTAATATCTAAGCACTCCGATACGCTGAAACTTGATGTAAGTGCGTTTGTGCCCTGCGCCGTGAAACCACCAAAACTGTATGGGTTACCAAAAATACATAAGGCTGACACTCCACTCCGTCCCATAGTTAGCCAGATTGACACACCAACCTACAAACTGGCTCAACAAATGGCAAAGATACTGTCACCATTGAGAGGGAACACTTCCACACATGTGAAGGATTCATACCATTTCATCAGTGGAATCAAAGATCTACGGTTAACTGATGATGACACCATGGTCAGTTTTGATGTTCAGTCGCTGTTTACCAACCTACAAGTAAAAGACTGCATTGAAATTGTACGTAGGAAGCTAAGGGAACATAATATGTCCATTGAATATGCAGAATTATTAGAACACTGCCTAACATCAGGCTATCTATTGTGGAATAATGAATTCTACCTACAAATTGACGGTATAGCGATGGGCTCCCCGGTATCTCCCGTTGTTGCCGATATTTTCATGGAAGACTTCGAGGAGTGAGTTTTACCCATGGCCCCAGCTAGGCCGAAGATTTTCAAACGGTACGTTGATGATACTTTCATAATATTACCTAAAGATAGCATACCTTCTTTCTTGGACCATCTTAATTCTTTTAGTGCTAAGATCCAATTTACTATGGAACAAGAGAATTGTGGTACTTTAGCTTTCTTAGATGTTTTAATTAAAAGAAATCCTAATAACACCTTAGGCCATACTGTATTTCGAAAGAAAACCCATATAGATAGGTACCTCAATGGTAATTCCCATCACCATCCTAGCCAGTTAGCTACCGTGGGCAAATCTTTGTTTCAGAGAGCATATGGTGTCTGCGACAGTAATCATCTGGCGGGGGAACTTCAGCATATAAAGCAAGTCCTACATGCGAATAAGTTGAGGATTCCACGCCAATGCCGCAAACCCCGTGTGAAACCACCAACAGTCGAGCGAAGACCTGCCATCTTACCTTACGTGAGAGGTGTTACAGACAAGATCGGAAGAGTCCTCAGGCGCGCATCTATCAAGACCTATTTCAAGCCCCTGAGGAAGATTTCTCAGTTCCTGAGACCCGTGAAATGTAACATCCTCTTATAGGATGCAGGAGTTTACAAGCTTGACTGTGAGTGCGGTCTCTCTTATATTGGACAAACAAAGCGAAGTATTTGTACCCGCGTCAAAGAACATATGTATAGCTGATGTCAAAGACCGTCGCGTAAACAAGTCTGCAGTCTGCGAGCATGTCATGGATAAACCTACACATTCAATGAAGTTTGACAAAACCCAGGTCCTTGCAAAAGAAGTCCGTTATCTGCCCAGGATGCTGCGAGAGGCCATTGAAATTAAAAAACATCCTAATTTCAACAGGGAAGATGGTTTCTCCATACCACTAGTATGGGATCCAGTATTTCCTCTAATGAAAAATCCCAAACAGACATAAGACTGCAGTACTAATTAATATGTTTTAGTTTATTCTAATTTCTATTAATAATTAATAATAAATTAAACTTAATATAAATTCATTCAATAAAATAATTTGTAAAACTTAATGTAGCGTAAATTGGAATGTTTTCTTTGTGAAATTAAAAATAAGGTATTTAATTAATAACTATTGTAACTATAGTGAAAAAATAGGGTGGTTTGCATTAATATTAGACATAACTGGTTGAAGACTGTACCACCTCAGTCAACCG